ACACATGTATCCACACACATGTATCCACGCACATGTATCCACGCACATGTATCCACACACATGCATCCACATACACACACATGTATCCACGCACACACACATGTATCCACGCACACACACATGTATCCACGCACACGCACATGTATCCACACACATGTATCCACACACACGCACATGTATCCACGCACATGTAAGTAAGTAAGTAAGTAAGCTTTATTTATATACCGCCTTTCACAGACCAGAGTCACAAAGCGGTTTACAATTGTTATTTTTTGGGCACTTGTCTCTCACTCCACACAGAGATGGGAGCGGGGCCAGTACAGGAGGCGCATGCCAGAACTATTGGACATATTTTTAGTGGTAGGGGAAACCGGAGTACCCGGAGGAAACCTACGCAGACACGGGGAGAACATGCAAACTCCACTCAGAAAGGCCCTGGTCCGGCCGGGATTCGAACCCAGGACCTTCTTGCTGAGAGGCGAGAGTGCTATCCACTCAGCCACCATGCCATATCCACACACATGCATCCACGCACACACACACATGTATCCATGCACACACACATGTATCCACGCACACACACATGTATCCACGCACACGCACATGTATCCACGCACATGTATCCACACACACACATGTATCCACGCACACGCACATGTATCCACGCACATGTATCCACACACATGTATCCACACACATGTATCCACGCACACACACATGTATCCACGCACACGCACATGTATCCACACACACGCACATGTATCCACGCACACGCACATGTATCCACGCACACGCACATGTATCCACACACACGCACATGTATCCACACACACGCACATGTATCCACACACACGCACATGTATCCACACACACGCACATGTATCCACGCACACGCACATGTATCCACGCACACGCACATATATCCACACACATCTATCCACGCACACACACGTGTATCCACGCACATGTATCCACACACACGCACATGTATCCACGCACACACACATGTATCCACACACATGTATCCACGCACATGTATCCACGCACATGTATCCACGCACACGCACATGTATCCACACACATGTATTCACGCACATGTATCCACGCACATGTATCCACGCACATGTATCCACGCACACGCACATGTATCCACACACATGTATCCACGCACATGTATCCACGCACACGTATCCACGCACATGTATCCACACACATGTATCCACACACATGTATCCACGCACACGCACATGTATCCACACACATGTATCCACGCACATGTATCCACGCACATGTATCCACGCACATGTATCCACACACATGTATCCACACACATGTATCCACGCACACACACATGTATCCACGCACACGCACATGTATCCACGCACATGTATCCACACACATGTATCCACACACATGTATCCACACACATGTATCCACGCACATGTATCCACACACATGTATCCACACACATGTATCCACGCACACGCACATGTATCCACGCACATGTATCCACACACATTTATACACACACATGTATCCACGCACACGCACATGTATCCACACACATGTATCCACGCACATGTATCCACGCACATGTATCCACGCACATGTATCCACACACATGTATCCACGCACATGTATCCACACACATGTATCCACGCACACGCACATGTATCCACACACATGTATCCACGCACATGTATCCACGCACACGCACATGTATCCACGCACATGTATCCACGCACACGCACATGTATCCACGCACATGTATCTACGCACATGTATCCACACACATGTATCCACACACATGTATCCACGCACACACACATGTATCCACACACATGTATCCACACACATGTATCCACGCACTTGTATCCACGCACATGTATCCACGCACACGCACAGGTATCCACACACATGTATCTACGCACATGTATCCACGCACATGTATCCACACACATGTATCCACGCACATGTATCCACACACATGTATCCACGCACACGCACATGTATCCACACACATGTATCCACGCACATGTATCCACGCACACGCACATGTATCCACGCACACGCACATGTATCCACGCACATGTATCCACGCACACGCACATGTATCCACGCACATGTATCCACACACATGTATCCACGCACACGCACATGTATCCACACACATGTATCCACACACATGTATCCACGCACACACACATGTATCCACACACATGTATCCACACACATGTATCCACGCACATGTATCCACGCACACGCACATGTATCCACACACATGTATCTACGCACATGTATCCACGCACATGTATCCACGCACATGTATCCCACACACATGCATCCACGCACACGCACATGTATCCACACACATGTATCCACGCACATGTATCCACACACATGTATCCACGCACACGCACATGTATCCACACACATGTATCCACGCACATGTATCCACGCACACGCACATGTATCCACGCACATGTATCCACGCACACGCACATGTATCCACGCACATGTATCCACACACATGTATCCACGCACACGCACATGTATCCACACACATGTATCCACGCACATGTATCCACACACATGTATCCACACACATGTATCCACGCACACACACATGTATCCACACACATGTATCCACACACATGTATCCACGCACATGTATCCACGCACATGTATCCACGCACACGCACATGTATCCACACACATGTATCTACGCACATGTATCCACGCACACGCACATGTATCTACGCACGTGTATCCACACACACGCACATGTATCCACACACATGTATCCACGCACATGTATCCACGCACATGTATCCACGCACATGTATCCACGCACATGTATCCACGCACACACACATGTATCCACGCACACGCACATGTATCCACGCACACGCACATGTATCCACACACATGTATCCACGCACATGTATCCACGCACATGTATCCACACACATGTATCCACGCACACACACATGTATCCACACACACACACATGTATCCACGCACACACACATGTATCCACACACACACACATATATCCACACACATGTATCCACGCACACACACATGTATCCACACACATGTATCCACGCACACACACATGTATCCACACACATGTATCCACGCACATGTATCCACACACATGTAATTTTTTACTCATTCACCAGTGAGTCATTACAAGAATAATCTGCAGTTGCAAAGTCAATATAATTTGTTAGAATATAATGATTCTAATAAAAATAAAAATACAATCTTGTAAAGCTTTAGTTTTCAAAGTGTTAGTCACATATTCTTTCTGTTTTAGGCTCCTTAAAGATGAATTCAGCGTTGTTCCATTCCAGACAGATTCCATTGAAGATTGTTAGCGCATCAGAGTATACACAGCCTTTACGTGCCTGCTCTATGCTCTGGGATAAACTGGAAGGGCAGGGCCTTTGCTTTTATACTGTAACATGTTTTAGACAGAGGTTATTTAGTTTTTTGTTATGACCTATTTTCCTCTAATATCTTTAATCGCCCCCTGCACATGTTGGGTGGTGAGCTGGGTGCAGAGGCCAGGACATGACTGCTGTTCTGTCTCTTTTCTCCACAGGTCGGAGGGAGGTGTTGCTGAATGCAGATGTTTGGAAGGAATGAGTGTGGACATATTGTATTTGCTCCTCAACTTCTTCACACTTGATCCTCACTCAGCTTTGAGTGTGTAATTGTGAGGTGGTGGCACAGTTTTTCCTGGTTACTCCACTGTTTTAAGTCGGACGCAAGCAAAATAAATAATTCTATATATTAATGTATTGAAATGACCGAATAAACTACTACTACTACTACTACTAATGTGAAAAGCTGTCAGTACAGTACATATTATGTGATTTGCCTTTTGACATGGTCTGATTACGCCCCTTTTCAGTTCAGTTCAGTTCAGTTCAGTTCAGTTTATTTATTTGCCATTTGCAGTAAAACCACATTGGAATACATTTGCAAAAAGTCTCCAGTGTGCACAGACAAATACAGACATAAAACAACATTAAAAGACAGAAATAAAACAAATAAAACAGTAAACAAATGTCACTGTTTTCTCCCGCTATTCTATTGATGATACTGATTGACAGCTGATTGAAATACGATTTAATTTGAATGGAAACAAACATTTCAAGTTAATGTACTTAATTTTCTAAACTGCTGAAATTGAACTAAAAAACTATAATGTACTGACTCTTAACTAATCAAACTATTACTGTTTTTAATGGTTAAAACAAATGGGAATCCACCATAAGTACGTAAGCACTATACGTTTACCCCATTATTATAACGTTCTCTTTACATCAAATAGAGCTAAAAAGGTTTTCGTCACGACTCATTTTGTCCGACAATATATTGCTTCTGTAAATTGTTGAAATAAACAATAACATTGGTGCCATGTTGCATGTTCAAAAAAGTAGGTTGAAACCGGTAAAGCTTTAGTTGTATTGAAAAAATTGCAAGTGCTATGAACGGTATTTTAGATATATTAAACCCCCTCCAACTAAAACTTTGTATACAAAAAGATAGGTAAAAAACAGTAAAATGATAAATATTGAGGGTCTTATTGAATGATTCGTCAATATCGTAATGGTACCATGTTGTTAAGGAGCAACATCACTTTCACTTTCATGTCTGACAGAGATAAAACAATTTATTACATGAGATATTTACGCAAAGTCATGAGAAGTTATCATTATCATACTTTAACGTCGACGAGGCTGAGTACAAATACTGACTGACAAATCAAACACTTTAATTTGATCTCTGTGAACTCATCAATTCTGTCCCAGAAAAACAAACAAATAAGCCGCACCTCACTATAAGCCACAGTGTTCAAAGTGCGGGGAAAAAGACGCAGCTTTTAGTCTGGAATATTGATGCTGCTCTCTTCTTTCTATTTCCATCACATTTGTCCAAATCTTCAACTGTGTTTGTTTGTGTGGATCTGTGTTTCTTCTCTACAGCGGTTTGAAACTTTCCATAATGAGAAGTCGATGCCTTCCAGTCTAGAGCCGTCGTCCAGTGGAACAGACTCTCTCACAGCAAACCACCTCAGGTTCGTGTCCAATGTTTCTCCTCTTCCTTATTCTCCACATGACCTGCACCGTTCAAAGAGTTGCTGATAATTTTGCTGATTTGTTATTCATTTAGACAGAGCTGGCAAAAGTCAACAAGGTTAAAATATCCTTTGTTCGTCCCACAGTGGGACATTTCAGTTTTGTATCACAAAGTAGGAATGACGAACACACAATACAAGATAGTACAACTCTATGCTCAATACTGTATTCTCTAGTGCAAGAAATATAAACTTGTATGTATGAATCTGTAGATCAATCTGTAATAAACTCTAGTTAGTTAGTTAGTTGGTCATTGGCTTTTAGGATTCCAATCTCCATAGTGATGAAACTAGTGTACATGTTAGCAGCATGAATTTCTGTGAGAAAGTGTTAAGTTAAGTGACAGTGGACGCATGGTCCAATGCAGCACATTCTAACATTCTACTGATGTCAAACAGTTAATGTCATTGTTAACTCACGATTAATCACAATTCATCACACATTTGATGTGATATTTCAGTTCTTTCTCCTGAGAATGCACTGTCAGAACCAGTCCACAAAGAACTATCTTAGTCCTCTGTACTCTGCGTTGTCGAGCTCGAGACGAGTCCGATGATGGCAGAGTGGTCAGAACTTGTGTGAGGCACTGCCGTCCATGTTGTGTCTGAAGTCTATAGTGTAGAGCGAAGAAGAAGGGCGCGAGGACCGTGTCCTGGGGAGCCCCCACTCTGCACTCAAGGCCTACCCCTGAGAAGCCTCGGCTGGATGGTGTTGAAAGTGCTGGATAAATCAAAGAACAGTGTCCTCACGGAGGAGCCGGGCTTCTGCAGGTGGGACAGCGTGCGTTGGAGGAGGGAGATGACGGTGTTCTCCACTCCGATGCCAGGCCGATAGGCAAACTGCAGCGGGTCCATTGCTGCTTTCACCGTAGAGCAGAGGTTTCCCAGGACGGAGCCTCCAGCCTGAAGTCAATGAGGTCTTTGCCCATGGTCTCGGGCACTGGTACCTCACAGGAGGTCTTCCAGATCTGTGGGACTGATCTCATCTTGGATGAATGAATGAATGAATACTTTATTTCGAGCCATGGCAGACAAGAACAAATAACAACAACAACAGAATAAAGAAAAAAAAACAATACAAATACAGTATTGTTTGTTTTAATAACAAAAAGTCAGCTCGAAAGGAGGATTTATACAGTGTATGTATATTATGTTTATATTCTTGCTACCTTAATACCTTATAAGCCTTTAAGTATCACATGATGATGTAAAGGCACATCATCATCATCACCATATATCCATATGTTATTAATATTCATAATTTTCATTATCATGAATAATAATAATAATAATAATGCATCGGTTTTATATAGCGCTTTTTTGGACACTCAAAGACGCTTCACATGTGTCATTATTCATTCACTCCATACACGGTGGTGATAAGCTACTGCTGTAGCCACAGCTGCCCTGGGGCACACTGACAGAAGCGAGGCAACCAGTCTGTGCCATCGGCCCCTCCGACCACCACCAACCATTCACACACACACCAGACTCATTCTAGGCAATGGGGGTGAAGTGTCTTGCCTAAGGACACAACAGCAGTTTGGCACTTTACAGCCGCAGCCGCCCCACTGTGGCTGGTGTTCCCAGAGGTTAAGTGTCTTGCCAAGGACACAACGACAGTAGTCAGTGGGAGTCGATGGTGAAAGTCTTGAGCGGGGCTTTATATAGGATTATAAAACAGTGTATGTTTAATATTTAATATAATAATTACTAGTGTTATACGTGAGTTAAATTTGATCATTGGTGCTGATGGGAGCTTTTATTTAGATTTAGTGTTATTTATAAAGAGAGTCTCTGCGTCCACAGATCTGCCTCCAATAATAGTAATAGCACATATAATAATGTTGTTAATGAGATCAGATTTTACCTTTCAAATACTTTAGATTCTAAAGTTTAGAATCTTAATTAAACCCCCACATTCCTGTATGTTGAGAATACCATTTTTTTTTATGGTGATTTGAACACAATCTGTTCCAATGTTTAACTCCACACACAGACACACACACAGACACACACACAGCCACACACAGACACACACAGACACAGTTTGATTATTTTAGACTGCAGAAATAAAATCCAGATATCCTGCCTTATGGATTGTTCTTACGGTGTGTTTCTGAAGTACAACCAGAGGATGAATTGATCTTTTGTAGTTATTGCCCCAAACCTCTACACAGCATGTTAAATATGGCAAAACTAGTGAAAAATATAATAAATGTAATGCTTTATGCATTAAGAAGAATTTTGATTTATTAATGATCGAGATGCTTTTGGAGACTGCTGTGTTTTAAGTGTTGTTTCCAGCTTAATTTGCAGTCGATAGTAACTCCTAAGAATTTCATCTCTGTAACAGTGTCTAAAACCACCCCATGTACAGTGGGGCAAAAAAGTATTTAGTCAGCCTCCGATTGTGCAAGTTCTCCCACTTAAAATAATGACAGAGGTCTGTAATGTTCATCATAGGTTCACTTTAACTGTGAGAGACAGAATGTGAAAAAAAACCAGGAATTCACATTGTAGGATTTTTAAAGAATTCATTTGTAAATTATGGTGGAAAATAAATATTTGGTCAATAACAACAATTCAAATCAATACTTTGTAACATAACCTTTGTTGGCAATAACAGAGGTCAAACGATTACTATAGGTCTTTACCAGGTTTGCACACACAGTAGGTGGTATTTTGGCCCATTCCTCCATGCAGATCTTCTCGAGAGCAGTGAACACGGACTTTCAGCTCCCTCCACAGATTTTCAATGGGGTTGAGGTCTGGAGACTGGCTAGGCCACTCCAGGACTTTCAAATGCTTCTTACGGAGCCACTCCAGGACTTTCAAATGCTTCCTACGGAGCCACTCCTTCGTTGCGCGGGCGGTGTGTTTGGGATCATTGTCATGCTGGGAGATTCAGCCACGTTTCATCTTCAAAGCTCTCACTGATGGAAGGAGGTTTTGGCTCAAAATCTCACGATACATGGCCCCATTCATTCTTTCCTTAACACGGATCAGTCGTCCTGTCCCCTTAGCAGAAAAACAGCCCCAAAGCATGATGTTTCCACCCCCATGCTTCACAGTAGGTATGGTGTTCTTGGGATGCAACTCAGTATTCTTCTTCCTCCAAACACGACGAGTTGAGTTTATACCAAACAGTTGTACTTTGGTTTCATCTGACCACATGACATTCTCCCAATCCTCTGCTGTATCATCCATGTGCTCTCTGGCAAACTTCAGACGGGCCTGGACATGCACTGGCTTCAGCAGGGGGACACGTCTGGCACTGCAGGGTTTGATTCCCTGTCGTCGTAGTGTGTTACTGATGGTAACCTTTGTTACTTTGGTCCCAGCTCTCTGCAGGTCATTCACCAGGTCCCCCCGTGTGGTTCTGGGATTTTTGATCACCGTTCTCATGATCATTTTGACCCCACGGGATGAGATCTTGCGCGGAGCCCCAGATCGATTATCAGTGGTCTTGTATGTCTTCCATTTTCTGATAATTGCTTCCACAGTTGATTTCTTCACACCAAGCTGCTTGCCTATTGTAGATTCACTCTTCCCAGTCTGGTGCAGGTCTACAGTTCTTTTCCTGGTGTCCTTGGACAGCTCTTTGGTCTTGGCCATAGTGGAGTTTGGAGTCTGACTGTTTGAGGCTGTGGACAGGTGTCTTTTATACAGATGAGTTCAAACAGGAGCCATTAATACAGGTAACAAGTGGAGGACAGAAGAGCTTCTTGAAGAAGAAGTTACAGGTCTGTGAGAGCCAGAGAAGTGACCAAATACTTATTTTCCACCATCATTTACAAATAAATTCTTAAAAAATCCTACAATGTGAATTCCTGGATTATTTTTTCACATTCTGTCTTTGACAGTTGAAGTGAACCTATGATAAAAATTACAGACCTCTGTCTTTATTTTAAGTGGGAGAACTTCCACAATCGGTGGCTGACTAAATACTTTTTTTCCCTATTGTATACTGTATGTATAACCGGGCCTAAGTTACTGAAAGACATAACCTTTGGTTTGTTTAAGTTTAAGGATAATGTGTTGAAATCCATCCATGTCTTTAATTTGGCTAATTCCTTGTTAATGGTAGATACTAAATTAATATAACTGTCATTTGAATAAAAAACATCTGCTAGCATAACTAGCTTAAATAAGTTGGAAACACTAAATATATCATTGATGTACAAATTGTCTGCAGGCTTTCTTCGCCTTGATCTTCAGCACCCTTGTCACCTCTATTTTTCTTACTTTTTAGCCCATTTATTTTATTCTTCTGCAACTGTTGGTACCACTTATTCCACTCATGTTTTTCTTTTTTTTCGAACGTGGATTTGTACCTGGAGATATGTCCATGTGTTTCCAGGTGTGAACAAAGGGCACACAGGAACATATCTCTAATGAAGTAACCAGAGAGTGCTGCGTAGCACGAAAAGTACACGGGAAAAGGCAATCCAGACCCGCGGTGCCCGCCGAGATCACGGGGCATGTCGCAAATGAGACCAACAAGCTCACAACCTTGATGCGCTGGCAGTCGGAGTACCAGAATGCCAGCCTCCTGGTCTACACCAGTGGGGGTGGGGTGGGGCCCGGCCCAAAAAAGGCCCATAAGCATGTGCGCTGACATGCATGAAAACTCACTCCTAGCCGGTGGGAGTGTACCCGGAATGAGAATTACCCAAACACAGAACAAATTCAACTCCTCTGGTTGTAGCAAAGGGAGATACAGGCCAAAAGCTTCACCATAAGATAAGATAAACTTTATTGATCTCACAATGGAGACACAATGGTCACATTTGGCATAGATAGAATCACTCGGATTGTGCAAAAAGACAAAGTGTGCAACATGTTGAGGTTAAAAATGTAGTATGTGCAGGATAAAATTATGCACAATAAAAAAGTGACCATATTTTTTATATTTACTCTGGTAGAAGTTGCATCTTATATTTACCTGAGTAGATATATAAAAAGTTAATTGCATTTTGGTTAAACATTATTTATTATTATTATTTATTTGTTGACACTATTTGCATTTCCTGTAAAACACCTTTACCGGTGGGGAAGTGTTTCATTCTTGGTAAGACAACAAATAAATCATATTGAAGCCAAATGTAGTCATTTCCTGAAGTTAAAACCAGAATAAATTAATGAACTTAAAAGTATTATTGACCTCATAATATTGAACAAACCTTTCTCTGCAGTTTTGTGGTTTGGGCTTTGGTCTCTTTCTGAGATGTTGCCATCTGCAATATTTTGCTTAACTTAACCATTTTTGGAGCATCAGAAAGTACAAATATGAATGCTCAAAAGCAAGAAGTAAAGTAAAGTAAAGATAACAGATTTTTATTTTATTTTATTATAACTAATCCCAGATCCGACTGTGCACAAAGGAAAAGGCAGTATTCTGTAAACCTGAATGACTCCCTTAAGACAAGTGTAAATACTCTTGTGCGGCACAGAACCCTCACATTCAACAGACTGCTTCAGCTCTTTCCTTTAGCTGTACTTCATCCCCTCCTGCTCCTGCAAGAGGCTAACCCAAGAACTGCCTTTTTTCTTCATTTTACTCTTATAGCACAAGCGCCAAGATACGAGCCATCGAGGCCAAACTGCAGATGATGGAGCAGAACCCAGAGAGCGACTGTGGGGGCCCTTCTCCTTACATTTACAACAAGCCCCCTGAAAAGAAGCGTTGGGAGCCCTATGGCCGATCGCAGAGCAGGCCATTTCGCCGTTTCAGGAGGTGACCTGGCCTCCTGCTCCTCATAACATGACACCTCCTCTCACCAAACAATAAACTGCACACAAGTGGACTGCTTTACAGACTCGACACACAGATTATACAGAGATATTGGCCTGAGCACGGCAGCCATGAACACATTTTGGTTTTTTGATATTTACTGGAAAGCTCTATTTGAGAAATAAAAGCTTTGATGAATTGTTAGTGTGTTCAGGTTGTGGTGGTTGTTCAGTCAGGTTCATATTTTCAATGTAGTTTTAATCATGCTTTTTTTTCCATTGTTTGATCCCATTACGCTTTTCTAAATGTCTCTACTTTGTAATTGGATATTGAAAGTATTAGTGCATTTGTTATTGTTTTTTGCTTTATTTTTATTTTTTTGCTGTTACACTATACGGAGTTATTTGAAAGTGTTTGAATTGTTAATTTTACAATGATGACTTGTTCTAAATATTAAAAGAAGGTTTTTGTTCACCTACAATTAAGTGTCCATGACTCTTTTGATTACGAATAATTGTTTGATTTATTTGCAAATAATGAAAATGTTTGTTTTGGTCCGTGGCACAAGTACTTGTTCTACACAAACCATCATTGACAGAAACGTCCTTCATAAAGAACGGAACCTCTGAATATATCTGGAAAATACAACCCTTTTGAAACGAGTTTATAAACGATCCAACCACGATTCTAAGCTCCGATAAGTTATAAGATCCATTTGTGTGTGTTTTACTTTTCATTTGAACAATATGAACTTAAAATATCTGCGGGTTCGTCACGTTCGTGAGGACGGATCTGAATATGGTGTGTGTCCTTTGTCAGATCCACCACATTATAGAAAATGAGCATTTAACACACGTTCTATAAGGAAATATATATATTATTTATTTGGATGGATGGATGGATTTATTTTCATATATATATTAATCGAACCGAAATTCTTCTTAAATGTTCTTTTAGTTGGATTAAAATCCCGATTGAAAACAGCTGGCCCTTATTCTTTTATCAAATTCTTTACGCGAAAATTAGCGTAAATGTCATGGTTGCCACATGGATTTGCAGTTATATATAAATAACCTGTGTTTCAAAGCAGCCTGGCACAGAGCTGCTGACCAGAGCGTGTGCTCCTGCCTCACGCACATCATCATGTGCGCGTTGCTTCACCCTCCCCTTCTCCCTAAATCAGTCTCCACAAACTTTGAGTGCGCAGCCCGCACAGAGGCACTCCTTCACTGACTGGTGCGGGGATTGTGTCCGTGTCTTCCGCCTCAATAACAGCTGCAGCCTCCGCGTGCTTCTCTTTGGTCCAGTGGAGAGGAACCGATACACTCTTAATCAGCAGCGTGTCTCAGCCAATGCCCGCGCGTCCTGGCTCCATGCGAGCTTTGGATGTAGGAAGTTTTGACTCCGATCGTCGACTCACTGCACTCCTGCCTCTGGACGCAGAGGCTCCGAGGGCACATGTACTGGAAAAATGAAGCGCTATCCCCTCTCTCAGAGGGAGATAAGATTATGTCCGATGGGATTCCCACAAAGCAGGTAGGCTTATTCAAATGGTTAGCCTGTTTTGTAAACTTGTCTTTAAATTGGTTTAGTTGAGATTTCACGCCGCTGCAGTAAATCACACTTGTGACATGCATAGGCCTGATTCGGGATATTATAGAACATGATTATTTTTGGAAAATTTATTTTTTTGGATGTTTGCAAAACATCAGCAATCCCACTAGTAACTATACATTTTATAATATAGGCAACGAATTTGCCTTTTTTTGGTTAACATTCCTTTTAGGCTATATCTACAACGTGTATATTGCAAAGGCCATGATCTTGGCCTGATCTGTATAAGCATTGAACAGCTGCAGTGGCACGTTTGGTTGATCTTTGTCTCCAAGATGTCTGTTCAAATGATAGACTATCTATTTGATATAGGCCTAAGACGTGCATGTTTTAAATAGTCGCATAATAATTAGTCTAGAAGAATTGGAATTGTATCGGGATAGAAAAATCTAATTTGCAATTCAGTGTTGACCGGTTGGCCTTCGGTGATTGGCAGCTGCAATTGACACTCTTATAGGCGTGTTCGCGTTTGTAATTGCTGTAACCCCAGCCCCCACCCCAAATGCCTGTTCCAAAGATGTGATTTAGCATAATAATAAATAGCTTTAAATTGTGGACTAATATAGTTGGGTAAAACGTACATTTAGTGGGCAGTAGTCTGTATTCAGTGGCTAATACGGCCGCGGGCTGTTTTCTTCAGGTGATCTGCAGCGAGCACCCGGGCACCCCGAGAGACACGCGCCGCTTCTCGGACCCCCAGCACGCGCCGATGGTAAGCCCCCTATTTGATACTAACTAATGTCAAACAACGACTGCACATGTGCAAATATTGTAGATGCATTAACCACTGCTGGTAGAAATAAATAGTATTTTCATTAGGCCTAAAACGGATGCAAGAACAACCCGCTGGTTCAAAGAGTTTGATATTTTATTCAGGTCAGTTTCAACAAAGAAAACTAAAGAATTCCTGTTTGGCGATATAGCTCTAATATAGCTCTAATATTTAATCCCCGGATGCATTGGAATTGCTTAAGAATATTGGCCGGAAAATATGTTTTCTTAGGTGCTTGAGAGGTAAGAAAGTTTTAAAACTCTTGTCTCTTGTTCTGCTCATACGTTATTGATCCTACTCTTTAAAAGTATAGACGATTGAAGAGATCTCCGTGCAATAAGATTGGGAGATTGATAGTCGATTGGGAATTCCGATGAAACAAAAATCTTATATGTTATTAATCAAAGCACACATGTGTTTGTCTTTATGCTCAAATTAGGGTTTTAATTGTTTAATCATATTGTTCAAATCCAAAATATTGTGAAGCCCTTCGAGACCGCTATTTGGATATTGCAAAAAATGTAAACGCTTGATTGATCTGCTTTATGGCCTATAGTGGTGTAATAAGCAGAACAAATCATACGTATAAATGAAAATAAAATGAATAAATGAATAGCCTGAACAAAATACTCTCCCCATATTCGTAAAGGCTCATGCATCCAAGAGGCCAACGTGTGTTAGGTGTGATTTCTCATTTAATTGCAATAATAATAAAATAATAATAATAATAAAACAAAGGGTGTTCATGTGAACTTGGTGCTGATCCTGTCCGTATTCTGGCCTGCTCTGGTTCAGTCGGACACAGAATCGCAGCGGTCAAACATGGAGCGGGAGGACATGCGCTCATCCCCCAGTTCACCGTCCACTCCGTCGGTATGTTCGCCCATCTCCACTGCCTCATCCACGGGGAAGAATGTGTGCTCCAGCTGCGGCCTGGAGATCCTCGACCGATACCTGCTCAAGGTCAGTGCAAACATTAGTCTGGCATTTAATTAAAGTGCAAACAGTATATAGGCAAAAATAAATAAAATACGTAATAGAATTAAAAAGGAAAAGGCTTTCTTACCTCTTTTTCATAGCGGTATTTCGTAATTTATATTTCCGCACTTTAAAATGAATATGCTAAGTATCAGTTTGAAGAAAATACAATAATAATAATACTATTATTAATTGTTTAGGATTATTGATTGATTAGACTCTCACACATTGGAATTGCTTTACAATATTTTGGAAATGTGTAGCTTCCCCATCACCACAGGATTGTCTTTCACACCGGTGTTTGTGTATTATCATATGTCTATTTGATCATGATTAGGCATGTTATAAAGATTGTAATGATAATAAGTATTAAGTTATATAGAAGATATAGAGAATCATATGGGGAAATGTTGTCACTATTGCAAAACACGAACAGAACAGAACAATATTGGAAAGGAGGAAACCCGCCTGGTCTTCGCCATCCGTAAACTCCGGTCAATAATTTCCCCACATGTAAATTCGTACGATGGTGTGGTAAGGCCCGGCTGGAGTAAACCCAAAGGAGAACTCTAAAGATAAAGACTATCACAACGAGGCCTCATGGTTATAGGCCTGTACCAAGTTACCCTGGTCACTGATTGTGCGTGTGTGTGTGTGTGTGTGTGTGTGTGTGTGTGTGTGTGTGTGTGTGTGTGTGTGTGTGCACGCGCAGGTGAATAACCTCATTTGGCACGTGCGCTGCCTCCAGTGCTCCGTGTGCAGGACGTCGCTGCGCCAACACAGCAGCTGCTACATCAAGAACAAGGAGATCTTCTGTAAAATGGATTATTTCAGGTAGGGTAAGTCTCTTCTGCATGTTCCCAACAACTGCAGTTCTACGCACCGCGCGCGCCTCCATCTTTCAAGACTCCAAACAGGCCGTAACAAAACTCAATAGAAAACCCTGTTGTTTTGTCTTCACCTGGAGTTTACAAGCACAATATCATGCCAGGACCTGCTGGGTTTTGTTGTGTTTTGTTTTTTGAGTGAATGACTGAATTTCACTTGACCTTCTGTTCCATACTTGTCCACGTGCCTTGTGGTCACGGAGGTTGTTCTTGAGATTCAGGATGATATTACCAAAGAGTTATGCAAAACGGACAACACACAATATGTTTTAATATATCGCGATTGTTATTATTAGTAGTTAATATATTTGAAACTATGTGCCTATATTTTTTAAGTGACAAACTGCAAATATTTGTCAGTTGTGTGGAGTTGGAGGAGAATAATTTTAAACACAACTCTTATTTATCAAATTCAATTATAAAAAATAAATACATAATAGAACCAAATTGAGGGCATAACTCACATCAATCTGGATTTTAATATTTTATACGATTAAGAGGGCTTTGATGTTTAGTTTTGAGACTTTCATTTGTGTGTCACTCTCATTGAGGCACATTTGTATGAGAGAAACACTTTTGAACAATACTTTAAAATTTGACCACAAATGTCATGAATTTAAATATGTTTATTGACCATAATTAACGTAGCATTAAAACCATTTAGAGGGAAAAAAGTGTACAAGGAAAACTGAAGACCAAAATTGTTTTCAATTGGCTTTTGTCGTAGCTGTGGTGCTTGAGGTTAAAATGGGTTCTGTCTGCAATGTTATGAAAAACACAGGATTTAACCAAAGATGAACCCGAAACATCTTGTATAAGTCTTACACCAAGCCACTCTGAAATAATGTGTACATATATATATATATATATATATATATATATATATATATATATATATATATATATATATATATATATATGACCTGAACAATCTTTGCATGTGAACACTTGTACTCATATTGCTCCTTCATGTGGCTTTCTCTGTTCGCTGCACTTATTTGAGAGTGGGAGTAAAGCTTCGACTGTGTCACTTATTTATTTAGCCAATTACAGGCTTGAATAGTCACACAGCTTTATGGTGAATAGAAAAAAAACATGTAATATTTTAAAGCCCAGAGTGCATTATTACACTTTCAGACAAAAAAAAAATATAGAAATTGTTGATTCTTGTGACATAAACTTGAGAATAATCATGAATCTTTTCTATTACACAGTGTTAAACATATTTATGTTGATGATAAAGGATTTTCATAACGTACAATGTCTAATGTAAAAACATATAACTATATAAAGGTCAGAGCAGACTCTTCTTCTGAGGTCTGAGGGCCTTTGATGTGAGCAGTCGGATGTTGCACATAACCGTTCTGTTGAGGGTAGTGCCGTGTTCTTTGGGGTTGCGTGTTGTGGCGGCAGTCTGACCTCAGAGACAGTAACCGGCTCAGGCTGATCAGGAAATGTGTCTCTGTGATGGGGAGAAGTGTGGACTCTGGGAGCTGTGCTGGAGAGTAGGATGAGGGCTCTCGTGCAGGGCATGCTGGGTAACTCCAGACACCCTCTGCATGACACTATCGTAGCAACAGGCTTTTATCCCTGCGCTGCTGAACGGAACGTCTTGAGATCCTTTGTTCCTTCGGCTGTCAGACTGTACAACAGGTCTGTATGAGTCCTCTGCTGCTGGACACCTGAATTTCTTATCTATATGATCAACATCATAGAATTTATATGAAAGCTCTAATTTTTGGTTTTTGAACTGTTGATAAGGTTCGTAGCTCTGCTGAAATAGTGGGTCATAGTAAAGTTTCAATTAACATTAAAACTTTTTTTTTTGACTGAATGCAAACAGTGATGCACCTTTTAAACAAATGTTGGGCTAACTTTTTGTTTCATAAAGGCATTTTATTTTTCCCAAAAGATTACTCCATTTTTTCTTTATCTTTTGATCATTTTACATATTGAGGTCTGATTGGCTGAGTGAGGGTTGGTACTTTTCACTGAAAAAAGTTGCATTTGTGAGAGAGGCCAATATACATGCGTTTGTCATAGAACCAAACAACTTTCAGAGCGACTCCAGTTTTAAGATTACATTTAAAATATTAGATTGATACTATTCTGCATCTCAGTTCTGAGAGTTTGTCTGGCTGCTCAAACCTCAGGAGATGTTTTCTTTGTGTCAGCCGCTCATCTAAAGCTGGACTGACAGCCGCTTTAATGGGCTGTAATAGCAGGAAATCAGAGCGACTTTCCCCCAGAACATGTGTGTGTTTGTGGGGGAGGGCTCAGGTGATGGAAGAAGCCAATGCACCGAGCCTCAGACACACACGCACACATGGACACACACACAAACACATACACACACACATACATGGACACACACGCACACATGGACACACACGCACACATGGACACACACGCATACATGGACACACACGCATACATGGACACACACGCACACATGGACACACACGCACACATGGACACACACACATACATGGACACACACGCACACATGGACACACACACAAACACATACACACACACATACATGGACACACACGCATACATGGACACACACGCACACATGGACACACACGCACACATGGACACACACACATACATGGACACACACGCACACATGGACACACACACAAACACATACACACACACATACATGGACACACACACATACATGGACACACACGCACACATGGACACACACACATACATGGACACACACGCACACATGGACACACACACATACATGGACACACACACATACATGGACACACACACACACATGGACACACACACATACACATACACACACACATACATGGACACACACGCACACATGGACACACACACATACACATACACACACACATACATGGACACACACGCACACATGGACACACACACATACACATACACACACACATACATGGACACACACGCACACATGGACACACACACATACATGGACACACACACATACATGGACACACACGCACACATGGACACACACACATACACACACACATACATGGACACACACACATACATGGACACACACACATACATGGACACACACGCACACATGGACACACACGCACACATGGACACACACGCACACATGGACACACACGCACACATGGACACACACGCATACATGGACACACACGCACACATGGACACACACGCACACATGGACACACACGCACACATGGACACACACGCACACATGGACACACACGCACACATGGACACACACACATACATGGACACACACACATACACACACACGCATACATGGACACACACTGCAGTTGTATCACTGTCATTAGAATCAACCCTCCACTGTCGGCTCCAGTCTCATACTTTTTTAAACTGTCACAAACAAAAAACATTACAGCAAAAGAGAGGGCGGCACGGTGGCTGAGTGAATAGCAAGAAGGTCCTGGGTTCCAATCCCGGTCGGAACAGGGCCTTTCTGAGTGGAGTTTGCATGTTCTCCCCGTGTCTGCGTAGGTAAAATCCTCCAGCTAACCCTAACCCTGGAGATGGGTTCCCGGGCGCTGTTACTACGGCGACCACTGCTCCTGACATAAGCCTTAGCGGCATTAGGATGGGTCAAATGCAGAGGATGAAGTGCCCTACTGGGACAATAAAGTGCACATTTTGTCTTTGTAAAAACAGTGAAAAAACTCCGCACAGCTATGTAGCTCCCAATCAGTGTTTTTTATCCACATACCACGCTATAAAAAACACTGATTGGGAGCTACATAGCTGTGCGGAGTTTTTTCACTGTTTTTACGTTTAGCATTTTTTAAATCCAGCACTCTAGCCCAGAGGGATGTGCGGCCTTATTTGAGAGTTTCTTGATTTCTTGATTTCTTGATTTATAAACTAATTAGAAAACAAATCGGGTATAGCTTCTTTAAGAAACTATCGGCCGATAACGACTAAGACAAATGAAACTGTAGTGTGGCTGTTACATGTGATTTTAACACAAGATTGAAATATTTCAATTTAATATAAGTGCGTTTTTATGCCTGAATCAAAACCTCAAACTGTCTGAGAACGTATGATTGACTGGAGTTAATTGTCTTATTGCTTAGTATAGTATTTGTTTCTTTACACTTTTAGTTTTCCTTGTTAACATGTTTCAGCTGCAGATCTGAGTCATCCACCTCAGTGAACAAAAACAGACTTTTTGAAACTTTTTTAGTTTCAATTTTGGTTGTTGTTGAGGTAATACTAGTTCTTGAGGTCAAAGATGTTCGATAGCGGCTCCAACCACAAGAAAACCCCAACCAGAAATGTACAGTATCAAAGATTAAATATCCAAATGGCCACTTTTCTCCGGAGCCTGTTTCAGCGACAGATGAACTGCTGTGGAGAACATATTTGCGTCTCGGGGGTGATATCGGGGCTGCAAGGTTTGACGTCTCTCCAAAGTAAACACAAGGTTATAGGGACGACACCAAATGGAGATAAAAAGAGAACAAGAGAGGGCTCCAAAAAGGAAAGATCTGCTGCTTCTCTGGGTTCTGTCTTACAACATGAAACTGACAAGCTGTCAGGCTGGATTAAGCACAATGCTTCACAATGTATTCCTCTCTACTGTAATACCAGACAGGAATGCTCCAAACAATCTAAACAAACTAAGCCACATAGTCCATTTGTATCCACAATGGCTTTATTGAGTTATGGGAAACGTGTAGGTTACCTTACACATTACAACGACATAAACACATTGTAAAAGGCATAGAAAATGAGATGATGAGGTCAATGCAAGGACAAAATGTCAAGACCATACAACGGACAATAAGTTAAACATGTGCATTGTGTAACCTTTAAAAACATTATTATTAATATAATTTTATTTGCATGAATGCATGTGTCTCTGCTGCTGGACACTTTTAGTTTCCCCTGTGATGATCAATAAAGTATCTATCTCTATCTACTGAACTGTTTTAGTGGTCATGGCATTAGCATAATAAACACAGGATTGTAGCTCAGATTGTGGATCTGTCCAGACTTCAGTATTTGCTCTTGTGCTCGATAGAGTGGAGTTGAGTGCAGAGACGATACCAAACCCGGCTCTTGGCGGCCCCCGGCTCTTGGCGGCCCCTGGCTCTTGGCGGCCCCCATGCTCTCTGCTCTTGACTGCTCTCTTGTTGCCATTGATGTTACTGTTACTATGCTTCTTCCCTGAGCACCACAAGCTCCACTACACTTTCCATCTGCTGATCTAATTTTCATTCAATAGTTTTTTCTATAATACTCTTGTACATCATTATCAGAATCCGTCTTTTTGAGCGTAAAGGTGAAGGATGAGATACATGTATTTATCTCTAATGATTTACTATTACTAGTATCAACAACAGTTAACATTGTGTGCACTATGTGTGTGTTTATGTTGTGTGTGGTCATTTGTCTTGTTTCTTATGATTTGTTTATTGTCTGCATTGGCTTTATTTGTGATTTGGTGCCATTTTAAGGACAATCTGGTTTAATTTGGATTCATCTCAAGGTTATCCTTAAACAAATCAGTAATCAGTAAGTTGTGTGTTGTATGTGGACACTTTTATCAATATGAGTTACAAACCTCACAGTTTAGGTAGTATCTGCTTTGATTTCTTTGGCTCAATCCATAATGTGTACAATTTATTTCTATTCATATAATGTTGTTGTTGAGGGTTCTCCCATATTGTGTGAGTGGTATTCAGTAGTTGAATGTCAGTCCATCTAAAGCAGTGGTCTCCAATCTGCAGAGCTTTGAAGCTACAGTAGCTCACCAACCCCTTTCAGTTACCTCCCCAAAGCATTAGTGTGCATTATGTTCTCTAATTATACAGTAATATGGGGCATTTTACATATTGTGTTGTCCATGATTTTCCGCATTCATTACAGAGACTAGTTTTTTATGACGGCAAAAAAACGGCCATTTCTGTTGCGTAGAAGTCGCTCTCCAGACAACAACTGTTAGCGACCCTGATTTAAAGGAATGCATCACACTTCAAACTGTGGAGTTGTGACAAGCCAAGATAAAAAATGGTCAAACTATTGTGTTTTAAAAGAGATTGGAGAAAAAAGAAATCCAGAGCAGTGCTGACTGGCTGAGTGTACCACCCACAGCAACATGCGCTGGGCTTTAGATGCAGTTTGACCTCATTGTTGCTATCGGTTACAGCGGGGAGAATTTAAAGTGATGTCATGTCTTTCTTCATCTCCCGTGTGTGTGCGTACATGTCAGGGCCTTCATGCATCAAGCAGGAAATTGCAGGTGTTGGTTTGTTTGCGTTCAAGCTCAACTTTCCGGCGCAGTCAGGGCCCTTTTAGATGGCCACGTCACAGTCCAGGGGTTCTTCCTTAAGACCTCTGTGTTCTTAAGAAAAAAAGAAGAAAAAAAATCCACGTTTTCCTTAAAGTGATAGTATGTAACTCTAAATTAATTAAAAATGTTTGGGAATTTTAGTAAATTGACCTCCTGGCCTTAAATGTTGATATAAAATAAGTCATTTTATTAATTCTAATATTACGGGTAAGTCCCGCCTTCCCTTCTCTTAGCTATAGTTAGCTATAGAATCCACGGTGCCGTCCAGTTTAACCAATCGAGTCATGCCAAGGGCTGTCAATCATCAGCGCTGATGCTGCAGCTGCTCATGCTCAGTTGTTTGTTTTCACGGAACCTCAGAATCAAGCCTCCATTTATATATGAACCTATATCCATAATCATTTATATATGAACCTATATCCATAATCATTTATATACTGAACCTATATCCATAATCATTTATATACTGAACCTATATCCATAATAATTTATATATGAACCTATATCCATAATCATTTATATATGAACATATATCCATAATCATTTATATACTGAACCTATATCCATAATCATTTATATATGAACCTATATCCATAATCATTTATATATGAACCTATATCCATAATCATTTATATATGAACCTATATCCATAATCATTTATATATGAACCTATATCCATAATCATTTATATATGAACCTATATCCATAATCATTTATATATGAACCTATATCCATAATCATTTATATATGAACCTATATCCATAATCATTTATATATGAACCTATATCCATAATCATTTATATATGAACCTATATCCATAATCATTTATATATGAACCTATATCCATAATCATTTATATATGAACCTATATCCATAATCATTTATATATGAACCTATATCCATAATCATTTATATATGAACCTATATCCATAATCAGATCCTCTGCAGATGTTTCTATAATGTGCAGTTCATGATAAAAGCTTGTTCCGGGTTTGCTGCGATCGCTTTTTTTGTGCATTAAAACATTATTTTTGTCATGTCAAATAATTCTGAAAACCTCCGTGCATGTGTATTAATAATGTATATGTATAATGTGTTCTCTGATTAACATTTAAAAGTGTTACGGAAACGTAGGTGTAGACCAATCAGAAAGGAAGGGGGAGGAGCTTGCGTCATTTTTTTCAAATCAAGCACCTCTCTCTCTCTCTGACAAACTGCAGACATCACTTTAACCCTAGTATTATGGTCCGATTATTGTGATACAAAAATAATTTGATTATTATTATTGACCTATTGTCTTTTTATCTATTTATTTAAGTCTTTTTATAAATGCACTATAAAACTAACGTCAATTTAATATGACAAAAACGTAAGCTTTTTTTACAAATCAGACTTGAACATGCTGTCTTTCACATTTCTGTCTGATAAAGCTCATCTAAAGATGTGACAGAGGCCAAACTTGTGATAAAACTAAAATGTTCTGTAAGCAAGGAACTATTTAGATGGATTTCATTATGTTGCATGTAATTATCAGTGAATGTGTTTACGTTTCCATCAACTCTCTAATCCTCGTGTTGTTTTGTTTTTGTTTGTGCCTCTTCTACAGTAGGTTTGGTACTAAATGTGCCCGCTGTGGCCGTCAGATCTATGCCAGCGACTGGGTGCGGCGTGCACGAGGTAATGCGTACCACTTGGCCTGTTTCGCCTGTTATTCGTGTAAGAGGCAGCTTTCCACCGGAGAGGAGTTCGGTCTGGTGGAGGACAAGGTGCTGTGCCGGATCCACTACGACACCATGGTGGAGAACCTCAAGAGAGCAGCAGAAAGCGGTGAGTATTAAAGCAGTAGTAGGCCAGATGTTGACTTCACGCAGAGCCCAGAGCACATGCTTCCTGTCACAACTTACAACCAGATATTACTGCTACATAGTTGTTCAGTGCTACATTTCTTGTTTGTTCTTGTGGTTTTGATTAGAGGCAGTAAAGGTCTGGAAAGTGTTTTGTCTTTAATGAAATAATTGGTTAACAAACCAGGTTCACATCTGTCCCTCCCCAGAGTAAAGGTAAATATGTTTTTAATTACTCGTCAACTATAAATGTTTGCTTATTTTCAGGCAATGGTATAACGTTAGAAGGAGCAGTTCCAACAGAACAAGACAACCAGCCCAAACCAGCTAAAAGGGCGCGGACATCTTTCACAGCAGAACAGCTACAGGTGCCTTGAACCTTTTCAAACAGTAAATGTTGATGTGTGGATTCACTGAATAATGTCAGCGTTAATGTAATGATAATAATAATAATAATGAAACATAACCATGTGTTTATGCAGATTATGCAGGCACAGTTTGCTCAAGACAACAATCCTGATGCCCAAACGTTACAGAAGCTGGCAGACATGACCGGCCTCAGCAGAAGAGTCATACAGGTTTGTATGGATCAATAAAAACTCAGATTATGGCTGGATTGTGTTTATTGTGTTTTGTGAAATGTGTAATTGTTATTAGTATTAGAGAGGATATGTTACCGTACATGTTATACCTCTTTTTAAAGCTTGATCAATTAACCAAAAATGGTTTTAGTAACATTCATAAAATTAACTAAAATCAGTCTACAGTTCAAATCCAAACAAACAAAAACCTACCACTATACAGTATATCCAAACCCATATTAAATTAAATAATGTATTAGTTAAACAATACATTTATAACTTACACAGTAAATACACAAAATGCAGAATAGGGTTATTTTAATGGATATAATAAACCGATTCCCATCAATATCAATAAAAGCATTTTGTTATTACCTCTACACAGTTCCTTGATAACTCGCTCACTAGTCCCTGCACTGTTTATTTGCAGCCTTTCATGAAAAATAACTAAACAATACCTCCATGGCCATTTTAATCAGCCATTGGCCGGTCAAACTGAAAGAATCTGCCTCAACCCTATATTGGTCGATATCTAATTATTATTATCAATGTTTTGCAATTCTTGAGATTTGTCCAACACTTCTGTAGAAGCTCTTGCTCGATGCTGCATATATGACTTCTGGATGTGATGCGTCTTCACAGGTGTGGTTTCAAAACTGCAGAGCAAGGCATAAAAAGCACACGCCCCAGCACAGCGGCGCACCCCAAGGACACCTCCAATCACGGGTTCCCTCCTCTCTGCCAGACGAACTGCACTACTCACCTTTCGGGGGCTCAGAGCGCGCACGCATGGTTGCTCTTCACGGGTACATTGACAGTGAGTTTTTGCGCATAAGAAATCATATTGCGATAAAGTACTAGTTGTAATTTGTCTAACGACGCTGTGTGCTCTGCAGGTCATCCCTTCTCCGTGTTAACATCTCAGAGTCTTTCGCATCAGGCCATGTCACTGCCACAACTTCCTCTCAGCCGCTAGTCCTCCACCATGAAAGCAGAGACCCCTGACCCCTGACCTCCTGGTCCTAAACCTGACCTCCCGTTACTAAACCAGGGGTGAGAGAGGAGCCGAGCGACGGAAATACTGGAAAATCTTCACTTTGAAATCAGCAACTGACTGAATGGCTTGTAAAAGACAGCTTGAAATAGAGTCTGACAGTGAGAGTCTAGAGGACTGAAGTATTTTGTGTTTAATTTGTGAAGACAAACCAAGAGTTGGACTAAAAGAGCGGATGAGGTAAGGGCCTACTTGGTTTTGTTTTTCTTAAAGATAACATGAAGGAAATATAATGTTTTGCGCCTCATGATTTACTATCAATCCCAAAACAGTGGAAAAACAATCCGTGCCTTACAATAATGGGTCTTTACATTTACAACATTTAACGTCGAGCAATCAGATTTGTGTTGTTGGAAATAATATTCCAATATTCAAGTATTGTAGTCACAGTATTAGTCTTAATTGTTTGTCATTTTAGGTTGTTGAAAAGCCAAAAAATATTAAAATGATATTTTGGAAGGCATTGCGTTAACATTTAGCATTGGTATTTATTGGTACATTGACACGGATGAGGCATGTACATAACACGTGTGTGAGAGATTTTTGACATGATCCAGAAAACCTCAATGTTCCAACTGTATTTATTAAGACGATAAAATCTTGTAAAGCACTTTCCCCCTGTAAATGTTTTGTTTTTTTGTATTAAAAAAAGAAGAAGAAAACTAAAAGCTTTGATAGACTGTGCATCCTAAATGTTTTGTGTAATGAAATGCAATAAATTCAAATGTGATATTTTAGTGGACATTTGTGAATACAGTCATGAACATGATTATCTGTTGGATAAACTCTGGAAGATCTCAGCTCCTGTGGACTCAGCACTTGCAGGAGGATCAGTGAGGGGCTGGTGCTCTGACTGCCACCCCGACCCAGAAATGGATTAAGGGGAAGAAGATAGATGGGTGGATAAACTCTCACAAAAGAATCTCATGCATCAACTGTTCACATAAGAAACAGCCATTTTCATTTATTTTGTTTAAATGATTAAATACTGGGAGAGGAAACTTTAGCTTGATGTTTTGGCTATAATGCCTTCCTCAGATCTCTATCTTATATATTCACAGTTGTTATTATGAGTAATTTTCTTAAGCTTAAGAGTATAACGACCCAAACAAATGGGTTTTTTATTTTCTATATACAATATACAGAGGTCCTTTATTTCATGTGAGAGCTGAATTTTTCACAGTTGGTTCAAATGCTCGGTTCTTCCCAGGCTTTCCTACATGTCCGCACGATCCATGCATGCTCCTGGTCATCTGTGTGCAGAAAAATACATGTTTTATTGATAGTTCCTCACAGAGCTTGACCTTTGTGCATGACTGTATAGGCAACTGCTTTGATTGACTTGGCTCACAAAAGGCAGGCACAGATCTATGCATTTTCTTTTGTCAGTTTTAAGCATTGTTATTAACATGTCTAATCACTGCTGGCTGCACAATTAAACCACGGGTCACTCTTCATGTCACAGGCTGCAACAAACTCAAGTGGCATTCAAGTAACGGGTAAATTCATCAAATCAAGATAAGCCTCACAATTTGAGGGGGAAAAAACGTAATATGGCCACTTCACGCACCTACAAACAATTGCAACACAGTCGTAAAATGCAAGTGACTGCCCGAAGAGCTGATAATAAACCAGTTTTCCATTGTTAAGCAAAAACAAGTAGCTAATTGTAGGGGAAGTGAGCATTCAGCAGAGCATGCGCTTGCAGCTGCACACACTTGAGTGGCGCGGGCCTCTCTCCCAGGTTGTGCTGCGCAGAGTCTCCCTTTGTGCATATGAGCAGGTTCCATGATTGTGTGTAATTGGGCTGTAGCACTAACAGCCTCTTCAACTTTAACTCCCACCTGATCGGGGGTCATTGAACGCATCGGACCGAGGACAGCTGCTGCACAAGGCCCGGACCCTTCTTTGTGGCATTAAATATACAATAATTATTCTGGCCTTGGCGCTACATAAACTCAACACACACTGACCTCAATCAGCACAGCTCAGTCCTAATGATAATTACATTGACTCATTTCTATATTTGCTGTAATTTAAGCCTCTTTGTGAAGCAGCGTTTACGTCTGGATTAATGTCATGTTTGATAGAGTCACTGGCACAGGTGGTGCTGGTGCTGGGTTTAGGGAATGTGTCCTCCATCTCAAAGCACCAGAAAAGAAATACTCTGTCAATACATTTTAATTTGGTTCCACTGTTTTTGGTTTTTTGCATATATACAACTTCTGTTTTAAGATTAGACTAAAATCAAACTTGAATAATTCCATATTTCAAGCAAAGACAAAAATGGTATATTACACAAAAAAATATTGTTTGAAAATAGTCCAGGGCTTTTCAGCTGAATTAGACTAATGTTGATGCTCTGAGTCTGAAAATGACCTTGTTCAATCAGGTCTGGATTTTTTGCTACAGAAATATTTTTTTAAATCGATTTTGCGTTTAAAAAAAAACAAATTACTGCGGATCATCAGCTGAGAAACCCTTGGCGTTTTTTCCATTTTCCTCAAGAAATAAAAGTCAACGTATCCAAAGTCATTCAGTTTTTATTTACTCCATCAAATTTGATAAGCAGAATTCATAATAACGTAGACATAATCCGTAACACTATGGCTGTATCTCACAAAGTTGACCTGATAAAGACAAATGCATGTGATATTCAGACTCAGAACACCAACATTAGTCTGAATCAGCTGAGAAACCCCGGACCATTTGCTGTCAACTTGTGTTATTAATGTGAGATAGCATTATTTTGGGTCCGATAACACTTTTATCAGTGTCTTACTGTATTTGGAGGCTGGACACATATATGATGAAGTGCATATAAATGTATATAAAGTGCGGAGTGGCATTACTAATTTGAGGGGTCTAGGAACGTGAGTTTGGATGAATCAGAACTTCTTCCAGTTGTCAATCTTCCTTGGAGGAAATGGTTTGCGGCTACAGAAAAACTATGTAAATATATCTGGATGCATTAAACCATAATTCACTTTTTATTGAAAGGTAATGCGCCTTTTTAGTTTGCTGTTTAGCGTCTACCAATGGGTTTTAAAAATCTTTAAAATGTTTATACACCAATATTATTCAGGAGAGAATAGTAAAAAGTCCTCAAACTGTTGCATACTGTATATTATCCAACTGTTATGTTCTACACAGTAATCACTTTGCAGTTGTAGCAATGCGAGAAAATGTGTATTTTCAACATTTCCCATTATTTGAAAAAAATATGAAAAAAGAGGACTGTTGATGGACTTGTTAGATAAACCGGCGCATGTAACCCCCCTCTATACAGGAAGTCGTTCCTATTGTGAGTTTAATGGACAATTTCTGTTGTTTAGTAAACTTTTTGCTCGATATCCGGCTGCCGAATAATAATGACCTTTGTGCAGTGAACACAGCAGCGTGTGTGGAAGCGGTAATGGTATCTTGTTTTAGTCCGATTATCTAAATCCTTAAAATACACTCAGATATTTGATCCCATCTGTTGAAGATTGCTTGATCGTTTCACAGGATTACTTTAGTATTTGATCAATCTCTTTGGTGAAGAAGGATGGTAAGTCACATGACCAAGATATACCGAGGTGTTTTCCCTGGCGCTGGAAACTGTTCAGTGTGAAACCCATAATTGTCAAGCTCTCAAAAAGACGTAGATATTCCAGAAACAGGAAAGAGCTGAACAACAACAGACAGCCTCTTCGATGGTGTTCTTTAAGTAACCATTAAGTCTAGATCCAAACAAAGCCTTGTGTTTTTTTTATAACATTAAGACATATCCTGGAATCAAGGTCTTTCTCCTCGGAATTGTTTATATGGTTCATTAGAAATTATTTTATTTCCTCTGGCTAAATTGTCATATGAAGACAATTGTTATTCATGTTAATCTTAATATTAATTCGTGGATATACGTTTGTGTTGGCTTGTAAAAGAATCAGTGGGAGATTGTGAATACTAGGTAGTGTTTGAAAAACCAGATAAATATTAGCAATATACACAGAAAATATCTGTTCAACTCATTCAGAGGAACCATTACTGTTCTTTTGACCTGTATTCCTGAGGAATCTGCCTTCGTACGAGGTGACCACTCTGGTGGAGGGATTGTAGAAGCCATTGCCGCAATCATAACAGGCGTCAGGGATGATGCGTGGAGGATGATGATCAGTCAGCTGGGATTCTCCTACAGAAAAAGAACTTCTATTTTTTAGGAATTCCGATACGACAAAGCCAGCATAGCCTAATCAGTAACATCAGCAGCTTTTTACCATCTAAAAAACATTGCCAGGATCAAAAACATAGTTTATTTGTATCTTTCTTTTTAATGTTCTGTGATTATTTATGATTTTAATGCTTTCTTGTTTTGTTCAGCACTTTGAGTTGCCTTGTGTATGAATTGTGCTATATAAATAAACTTGCCTGCCTTGCCTTACCTGCAGGTCTGAGGCGGTGACATCGTTCAGAGTAAAAGCGCCGGTCATAACCATCACAGTAGTCCCAGTCTCTATCATGATACTGTAGCCCGTCTTCGAATGTCAAAACTCCCTGCAAACACACTCAAACATATAGCTTTGAAAGGCTATATAAATATAGTTTCGAATTTTTGAAAGCATCCTAATTCTTTGTTATTAAGTATGAGGGCACTTGTGTCTGAGCCAACATGTGTCACGGTTTGCTGTCATCTCACAAGAACCACTCTGGTCGATAGTAATTGAACTGATGGCTGTTGTAGCATCAGACCTACAGGAACACATGTGAGACTCATCTGTCCATGCACACAGAGGAGTGATACCTAATAACCTCAACAATATTGGTGGATAATTGGTAAAAAGGACCAGATGTAATGAGAACTATGACCAATGTGAAACACACAGTTGTGAAGACACATATTCCGACATATCTGAGCAGGGGACACCTTTGTTGAATTAGTCACCTGTTTAGTTATGCCCTTTTCCCAAATGGCTTCATATTTACTTCCATTTGGAAAGTACAGCACTCCTTGACCATGAAACATCCCGTCTTTCAACTCGCCCACATACTGGGTCCCAGTTGGAAA